AAACAAATTTACCTATAGCCTCATCTCTTCATAAATATTCTTCTCCCTGCCTTGATTGAAACATGACTTTCCCTGAGAACATCCCTTTTCCTCTCTCTCTCATACTCCACATACCAAAAGCCCAAAGTTATTGTCCTCGTTATCCTTTGCCACTTTTAAACCATTGCTTTTTCTCCCTTGTATAATCTTTCTTCTTGTGATGCTCATGACTTCTGGCTATACTTCTCTTTAACTCTTCTTGTCATTGACGTCTATGAATCTTTTGTCTTCTCCACCTCATTCATTGAGGACTTTGAAACTTAGCTCATTTTCTCTCTGTACCCAATCCCTGCAAGCATCTTGGGTAGTATTTGCTTCTTTATGGATGATCTATCACCATAGTTGCTTTCAAATGCTGAAAGAATATGTGACCTCTTGGACTCAAAAAATCTATATCACCCATTGCCATGTCACCATTCAGAATTGTACTACTATGAAATTGTAAACTCCTTTGTCATGATCTCTTATCACAAACCTTATTCCTCCATCTCTCTAGGTACTTGACTCACAGTATGCCTGCTTTCCTAGGAAGGTTTGCAAACCCTCAGCTCTCCTTTTTCTCCCATCTCTCAATCCCTTATGACTTTACTTCCTTTCCTATCTTGCCCCCATCTGTACCCAAGATCATAAACATCCTCAGTGCTTTACTAATCTTCTTTTTTCTCTGCTCATCTAACAAATCTTAACCTTGTATTAACCAAACCATCTATCCTTCTCTATTTCTAATCTCAGAGTGCTAAGCACTTTTTGGAGATCACAAAAGCATTAAAAATTCAGCGACTCCAACCTCTTCTGGGCTTCCAGTGCCCCTTGGATAATTTCTTACCTACTTGTGATCAGCTTCATACTTAATTCTTCATATTAGCTATTCCAAAATTCACCACTCTCAGGCCTTCTACCACATACCCCTCTCCCCAATGTGCGACAGATGATGTCGCCTTCTACTTTACTGAGAAAAACCCAAACTCTCAGCTAAATATCCTTTTCTATACATAGATCAGAACCCACCTTTACCTCCTTTTCTTTGGTCTCAAAAAAGGTATCACTTCTTCTTTCAGTACCAATCTCTTATATGTTGTAGATTCTATCCCTTCCTACTTCTTCAGGAACCTCAGTCAATCTCTATTCTCTCTTCTTAATATCTGAAACTTAATCTGCTTATATGATTCTTTCCCCTCATCTCAAGTCTTCCCTTTCTTTAAAAAAGACTTAATATATTCATACAATGGAATAATATTCAGCAATAAAATGAAATGAGCTATCAAGCCATACACACACAAAAAGGAAGAACTTTCAGTGCATATTGCAAAGTGAAAGAAGCCAAACTGAAAAGGCTTCATTCTGTATGATTCCAACTATGGCATTCTGGAAAAGGCAAAACTATGATGACGGAAAAAGGTTAGTGTTTGCCAGGGGTTTGGGGAGGGGTGGAAAGAAGGATGAAGCAGTGGCTCATAGGATATTTTTAGGGCAGTGAATCTATGCTGTGTGATACTGTCATGGTGGATTCATTACATTATACAATTGTCAAAACTCATAGAACCGTACAACACAGAGTGAACCCTAATGTCAACGATGGACTTTAGTTAATAATAATGTAGCAGTGTTGGTTCATTGATTATAATAAATGTACCCCACTAATGTAGGATGTTAATAGGGGAAACGGGAGTGGAAAGGAGAGAGGGAGTATACAGGAATTCTCTGTAGTTTCTGCTCAATTTTTCTGCAAACCTAAGACTGCTCTAAAAAATAGAGTATTAATTTAAAAGAAATGGGTTAAAATAACCCTTAGCCAGGGTTAACTGCTGCTAAATTTTTGTATTTTATTTTTATTCATATTTTTTAAAAGCATTTGGAAACTTTCCTTCATCCTGCATTACCTTCTAGCCATTATCTGTCTCCACCAGTCAGTCTAAAATATTTATTGAGTATCAACCAGATGTCAGACTCTAAGTAAGTGCTAAAGATTCAAGGAAAACAAAAGAGACTTGTTCCCTGCCTTCAAAGAGCTGGCAGACTAGAGGAGGAGCCATGTAAGTAAACAGGCACTTAGAGCAGCCCCTCACTCCTCACCATCCCTTCATGCTTCAGCCCACTCGGTGAGTCAGACTCTGTCCTGTCGTGCCCCTCAATCTCTCATAGCCAAGGTCACTAATGACTACCTTGTTGTTAGGTCAAAAAGTTGTTACCCAGTTTCTCTTCAGATTTTACACTTAAAACAATTAAACTCCACTTTTTCTTAAAACTCTCTTGTCTGTTGGCTTCTGTTAAATAACTCTCTTCTTGTTTTTTCTTCCTGTCTGATTGCTTTTTTTCATCTCTTTGGCTATAGGTTCTCCAAGCTCTATTATTGTACCTCTTCTCCATCTGTATAGTCTCCTGGATAATCTCGTGTATTTACATGGCTTTAACTACCACCTACTTATTGGTGGTCTCCAAATCCGCGTGTCCAAGGAACCCTTGATAGCTCCCCGCAACATATGGCCGAAGCTGAAGATATCCTAAAAAACCGTCTATGGCTATCTCACAGGATCTCAGAGTTTCCTCACTTGCCACCTTTATCCTCCATTCTGAATCCACTTCTTCACATCTGATATCCCCAGTTTCCATCCTTTTGTCTAGTACCTGGATTTGCCTTTCAACCTTGTTTAACTGGTTGTTTGGCTTTCAATTTCAGAGTTATCCATGAATGCTGCCTCTCAGACCGTGCTGTACTGCAGCTCCAAGCCAGCTCTGCCTCAGTCCTGTACCCAGCCAGGTCGAATGTTCTCAAACATTACTTGTCTGGAAAGAGAGATTAGAAACTAGCTCAGATCTCTTATCTGAGCTTCAAAACTATATATGCTTGCTTTCATTACCACTTGTATATCCTTCAGGTGTCTCCAATTCAGTCTATCGAAAACCTCCTCCTGGGGCCAGCCCCGTGGCCGAGTGGTTAAGTTCACGCACTCCGCTTCGGTGGCCCAGGGTTTTGCCAGTTCAAATCCTGGGAGGACATGGCACCGCTCATCAGGCCACGTTGAGGCAGCACCCCACATGCCACAACTGGAAGGACCCACAACTAAAAGTACACAACTATGTACCGTGGGGCTTTGGGGAGAAAAAGGAAAAAAATAAATAAATAAATAAAATAAAAAACCCTGCTCCTGCTGGGTATCCTATGTCAATGAACAGTCGTAACATCTGTCTAGGGCCAATTAGGAAACATAAAATCACTCTTGACTCTTTCCCTATTTCACTCCTCATAGCCATGTCATATCAATTCTAGCTCCCTGCGTTTTCAAACCATCCCCTTAATTTAATATTTATTGTCACTACTTCATTTCTCTTGTGGTTTACGGAATGGCCTCCTAACTGGTCTCCTTGCTTCTCATCTTGCTAGTTTCCAGTATATTCTCCATGCTGCTACCAGAGGACTTTCTCTGACACAAATTTGATTCTGTCACTTCCAGCAGAAAGTTGCTATGACTTCCTGTATGTAAGATGGTAATGTAGGGCTAGCCCTGGTGGCCTAGTGGTTAAGTTTGACGCATTCTACTTTGGTGGCCCAGGTTCGGTTCCCAGGCACGGACCTACACTACTTATCTATCAGTGGCCATGCTCTGATGGCAGCTCACATACAAAGTAGAGGAAGATTGGCAACAGATGTTAGCTCAGGGTGAATCTTCCTCAGCAAAAAAAAAAAAAAGATGGTAATGTAGGATCTGCTTCATATCTACCTCTCCAACTTATCTCTCACCACTCACCAGCTTCCAGTTTCAAAGAATGTGACAGTGCAAGGGCCCAATTTTAGAAAAGCCTGCTATCTAATTAATCAGGGCATGCTATCTAATTAATGAGTTATCTTAAATTACTGAACCCACAAACTTCCCAGAGCTCACAGCTCTGTGGTTGCCAGGTCTTGGGCTTGGCTCTGGCCCTAACCATACTTCCTCACTACCATGACAAAACTCCCTCTAGATGGGATGTAGGAAAGAGCCACTGTAGCTCACTACAAACTTCCCTTTCTCCAACATAGCACCAAGCACTCAAGTGTCTGTACTTGACATATTGGGGCCCAGTCCAGGTAGCACCACAACTACAAAGAGCTGGAAAAATATCCTTGAGAGTTCTGGTATGGGCTAGGGAAATCCGTTAATGACGTTGACTCCAGAGTGGGGATGAGAGAGTCTCAGGGCCAAACCGAGCCATAAAAAATGTTTACTCAAGGTAGCTACCAGCAGCCTAGCTGAAATGAAGAATGAGAGTCAATATGTAAAGGAGCCGAGCTCATAGCTGGGAAAATGGTAGTGAATATTAGGTCCAAATATTGAGGCAAGGTCAGTGACTATGAGGGTTAGAGGCAAGAAGGAATCAGGTATGCTGACAGGTCAAGTAAAATGGCTCAAATTTACGTCTGTGAACAACATGGACTGAAGCTTTATTCTACAGCCTTGCCTCGATCTTGGAATATTCCTCTCTAGCCCTCTTGTGGGGTTAAATAGGAATAGTGCAACACAGTGATACCACTGGACCTAGGACTCAGTTCCCTTCCCAGCTCCCCAATCAGGCAGAGGACAGGCAGAGACAGGGCTTTTCCAGATGCTATTTACTAGAGGGAACAGTTATCCCCTCAAATCCTTAGGTTTGATTATCACGGATTTGGGACTTGGAAGAGTAGAGCCAGAAGATGACCACTGATCATTCAGGATAGCTGGGGTAGAAAGGGGGCAAGAAGGGTCTACCCAGCAGTGCTGAGCTTGTCTCCTGTGGGATGGTCTTTTCCAGCCCGAGTGAATGGATGGTCCAGGTCAGAGCTACAAAGGCCTTAGAAACCACCACACGGTCTCCTCCATTTATCTTGCTTTTCTCTTCCTATCCTCCTATGAGTTCTCATCACATTCCAGAAATTGCCCCCAAATTGACCTTCTATAATGTGTTAAGCTGCTGCTGAGAAGTTTGTGCTGGCTTATGTATTCCAGAAAACAGAAAAGGTCGACTTTTCCTACAACAAACTGGCTGATCCTAAGTTTTCATTTTATGACAAGACTTTGGTGGAAGCAGTGAAAAGGGGAGATGGCCGGGTGCACTTGTTTTTCCTCTCGCTCTCATTGTGTCATACTGTGATGTCAGAAGAGAAAGTGGAAGGTGAGGAGGGGCCTGAGGCCTTGTGGACTGAGCCTATCTCATAGAGTCTGGGCTGCTTGGAGGTGGGGGTGGTTTGGTGTAATTTGTAGTGCCTTAATCTAAGAAAGAACTTTCTAATAGGGAGCGTTGTCCAGCAATGGAATGGATAATCAAAATAAGTAGTGAGCTCCTTAGTCACTGAAACTATTCAAGAAGAAAACAACCTGTTGGTCTTAAAGGAGAGTCACTAATTGGCTAGGGGTCAAACTTGATGCTGTCTAGGGAGCTTTTGCTTTTGAGACTCTGTGATGTTCTGTCACAGAATTCATCTGAATTGTCCCCAAGATCAGCCCTATTATCTCTGACAAGACTTCTTGAATGATGAGTTGAATCATCTTTTTGTTTCACAATTTAAAGGTGTTGACTGAAATAAAGAGTCTGGGTGATGCTAGTGAAGGAGGTTATTCAGTAATCAGCATGAGGAGTTTGAACCCTGAGAACACATTTCAGCAGAGCGCTCTCCTGGAACGGCTCCGGGGGGTGGAGTTTAAGTGCAGCTTGGATCTCTCACAGACTGGTGTACATGCAGGGAAGAGGAAAAGAAAAAGCTTACAACTAGAGCTAACATCGTGCCCATCTTCCTCTACTTTATACATGGGCCGCCCGGGCCGCCAAAGCAGAACGTGCGAACATAACCGCTGTGCCATCGGTCTGACCCTACAACTAGATTTTTTTAAAAAGGGGTAGAGTACATCTGAGCTTTTCCCTGGATTATACATTGAAGGTAACGTAAAGAAGAATTCCGGGGCCCCTGGTGCACACATTCTGCTTCGGAGGCCTGGGGTTTGCCAGTTCGGATCCCGGGTGCAGACATGGCACCGCTTGACAAGCCATGCTATGGTAGGCGTCCCACATATAAACTAGAGGAAGATGGGCATGCATGTTAGCTCAGGGCCAGTCTTCCTCAGTGAAAAGAGGAGGATTGGCAGCAGTTAGCTCAGGGATAATCTTCCTCAAAAAAAAAAAGAAAAAGAAGAAGAATTCCTTCATTATCCATCAAACAAGTTCAGAGATGCTGACTTTATGTGTGGAGGGAGGCAAGGTGGAGGGAGGCAAGGACCAGGGTCACTAGTTATTCATTCAATCTCTAAGAAATGCACCTGTGAAATGTGAGAGCAAGGTACCCCTTTATCCCTTCCTGTTGTGGATCTGTCCAGCTGGCGTCTCCAGTCATGAGGTGTGGGGTTCAATGTCATTTTGACATGGCTGAAGGTGGCCTGCATGGCCGCTTCATAGGGCAGCGTGGATTTTATTCTACTGACTTAAAATCCATGCACTTTTCTTGTTAGATTCACGTGTTAGACCAGGGAGAGGGATCCCAAAGATCTGTCCACAAAGGTATCTCCATATATCCTAGTTTCTTTAGTAATCAAATATGACTGTGTCGTCCATGAATTTATCCAGACCGTTTTTAGAAACAATGAATGAGAAATGACTGATTATAAATTAAGAAGACTCTTTTTTCTTAACAAACAATTTAGGCAACCAAAGAAATCACATCCTTTAAAGTCACTGTACTCTTAAAGTAATACTACCATTAGTAACACCTTATATTTGTGTATTACTTTACAGTTTTACAAATTTCTTTCATTTATATTATCTCCTACAATCTTCACAACAGCCCTCTGAGGTAAACAGAACAAGAAAAATGATGCCAGTTTTATATAGAAGGAAACTGAAGGTAAAAGAGCTTAAATGACTGGCCTAAAATCCTTTAAGAAGGGCAGAGGTGAGATAAGACCCCAAATCTCATGTCTCCTGGTCCCAAGGGCTCCCACCCCGCCACAGGCCTCTCTGGGCCTGACATTCCAACAAGTTGCCATTACTTGAAGCATATTTGGACTTTTCTTTGTTTACTGCCTTGAGTGACAAGGTAGGAAACACATAAGAAAATAGTCTTATTGTCCCATAGATACACCTTATATCTGACCTAAAATTATACTCCCCCACCTACGTTATTCACAAGTATAAGACTCTGATGATGCGTCACCCTTCTTCAAAAGCAAATTGACCTTCAGAGGAGAAATAATCCAAAATATACCTCAGGTAGTGGTGATGTTCTAAAAAGAGGAGTTCCAGAAATGTCTTGAGTAATATCACATTGAAAGACTGATTCAATAGAGGGAGTCATTTAGCTTCCCAGAGTGAGAGTTTCAAAGGTGACAATACTCACGCATATGTATTTTTTCATTGTTAACTAAACAATCCATCTTGCTTTCTGGCAGCAGTGTTTAGCAAAGTGTGGCCAGTCTTATGCAGGAGCACTTTATGCAAGACCACCTGCATGAGACTCACCCTGGAGAGTTGTTACAAATTCGATTTCCTAGGCCCTCCTCCCAGGTTTTGTGATTCTGGATTCCGTAAGTTTGAGTAGTGCCCAGGAACCTGCATTTCAAGCCCCCTGAGCCATCTTTACCCACTAAAGTTGGAAAGTAACTGCCTATGTTTTGTTCGTTTGTATACATGCGTGTACCATGTACCCCTGTATACTAACTCGGGTCTGTGAAATGAGTTGAAGATATTGGGGAAAAAAAAACTGACCTGATCTATGTAACCTGGCCTTTTAGGGCCAGGCTCGTGAGGAAGCTTTGAAGAAAGACGTCCCCTCCTGGGCTCCATTTTTATGTAAGCCACTTGGAAGACAGTGTGACTTCTGGGTGGACTTCAGCTGCACATCTCTGTGGCCTCTGGCTGCCCTCTTCTCTCCTACCAGGTGAGCTGGTGTACCAGGCTCAGTCCCCAGATGAAGGTGCCCTGGTCACTGCTGCCAGGAACTTTGGCTTTGCATTCCGTTCTCGCACATCTGAGACAATCACGGTAGTCGAGATGGGGGAAACCAAAGTCTACCAACTGCTGGCTATCTTGGACTTCGACAATGTGCGCAAGAGGATGTCTGTTATTGGTGAGTGCCCCTTCTAGTCGGTCTTCTTCTGTTATTTGTCTTTCATACATGTTTACATGTTGACTTTTTCTTCATCTACACACAAATGTTGTCTCCTACCCACATGCCTTCTCACAGGTACTATGCCTCCAAGACAAGCACACAGCCATTCCCACTTTCTCTCTCACATATCCTTTATATTTTCTCTTTTACACATATTGGGGCTTGCTACCTTATGCTAGGGCCCTTCTTCAGTATTCCTGGGTAGTAGCTTGTTAGAATCCTCAAAGCCAAGATAAGAACAGAGAATAAATATGTAAAGCCTGAACTTGGAGTAAAAGATAGGGGCAGACAATATAGGGAAAATTCATACTATCTTGCTCTCAATTACTTTGGGCCTCTGACTGAAGAGGAAGGTCATTCTTCATCCTTGGTCCTTACTAGGTGTAGGCCTTGGTCTGGAACTTGGACTTGAGAAGCTAAATGTGATTCTGCGTCAGAGTCTTCCACAGGTGATATTGAACCCATGGAAGAACTGGTTCCATGAGGTCCTCTCTCACTCTTACCAGCCCTTACTGTATCACTTATCCTGTGTGACCACTCTTTGAGTGCTTAGCCCCCAAACATATCAGGAACAAATGTCATGGGAACAGCTTCCTGACATCTCTCAGTTGCCTAGACAAGTTCTTGTAACAATGGGCCTCTGTAGCTACTTTGCTTAATTTGCTTATCCTTAGTGAGGACACCTGAAGATCGGGTAATGTTGTTCTGCAAGGGTGCAGACACCATCGTTTGTCAGCTGCTTCATCCATCCTGTAGATCCCTCGGAGATGTGACCATGGAACATTTAGATGTAAGTGTTTGGGTTGCGGGGGGGGGAAGCTGTGGGCGGTTCTGTGTATCTGGATATGTGTCTACATATGTGTCCCTGTGTCGGTGTGTTTTTGTATGGCTATATATTGGTGTCTGTGTCTCTTTCATTGATAGAACAATAAAAACTACCTCATTCTGTGGGATTCTTACTGACCACATTTCCAACTTCTATGTCAAGGAGTTGGACGGCACAGGATCCCAGGGGCATGACAAGGATTGTGTCTATGAGAGCACTTACCACAATCAGAATAGTTCTCTCTATGATTCCTGGCTCAGGAGGTCCCATGGTCAGACCTAGAATTTGCTTCAGAATAGGGCCTGCTGACACAGGAGACCCCACCCCACTCACCATGATAGGAACAGACTGCTTTTATGGCCTGGAGCAGAGAGTGCCAGACCTGGGCTGTTGAGGGGACTGTTTGATACCCTCCTCTATTATCCACAAGATTAGAATCCCCAAGGCTATCTCCCCCTACCTTCTCTTACCCTAGTTTCACCCCCTAGGATTTGAGATGTACCAGAAAGAGAGAGTGGCTCCGGTCTGCTGGTACTAGAAAGGAAAACCACATCCACACCCTCTGGGGTTTCTCTTCTTAAACCTGGATATATAAAGGGTTTGGGGGAATAGGACAGGAGATGAGATGGGGAAGGGGCAGATCAGAAAAATATTTTAAAGAAGAAATAGATTGGAGAAAACGCTATTTTATTAGGCCATTTTGGCTTAACCCTACATTAACACATAGCCAGAAGTCAGAGAACAAATGGCCAATAAGCACATGAAAAGATGTTCAGTGTCATTAGCCATCAGGGAAATGCAAATCAAAACCTCAAGATATTACTTCACACCACTAGGATAACTAAAATCAAAAAGATGACTAGACGATAAAAAGCATCAGCAAGGATATAGAGAAATTGTAACCTTCATCCATTGCTGATGGGGATGTAAAATGATGCAGTCATTTTGGAAAACAGTTTGGCAGTTCCTGAAAAAGTTAAACACAAAGTTGTCATATGACCCAGCAATTCCCCTCCTAAGTTTATTCCCAAGAGAAATGAAAACACATGTGAACACAAAAACTTGTACCTGAATGTTCATAGAGCATTATTTATAATAGCCAAGAAGTGGAAACAACTCAAATATCATCAACTAACTGATAAATGGATAAATAAAAGGTAGTATATCCACACAATGCAGTATTATTCAGCCATGAAAAGGAATGAAGTACAGGCACATGCCGTGACATGGATGAACCTTGAAAACATTATGCTAAGTGAAAGAAGCCAGTCACAAAAGACCGCATATTATATGATTTCATTTATATGAAATGTCGAGAATAGGCAAATCTGTAGAAACAGAAAGTAGATTAGTGGTCGCTGGGGTCCTAGGGGAAAAGGAAATGGGACTGACTGCTAATGGGTACAGGTTTCTTTTGGGGTGATGAAAATGTTCTGGAATTATGTAGTAGTGATGGTTGCTGGCTGGTTTATGTGATGGTTTATGAATATAATTTTTTTAAAAACCACTGAATTGTACACTTTAAAAGGGTGAATTTTATGGCATGCACATTATATCTCAAGTTTTAAAACAAGTCAGTGAAGTGTCCCATACAGGATGGCTCTTATGTCTTATACTGGTTCCCAGAGGCCACAGTGTTTTTTATGGGCTAGTCTGAAAACTTCTCTTATCTTTTAACCTTCCAAGACACATGAATTAGGGTGTCAGAGAACATTTCCACAGACTAGCTTCAAAGGAGGTCCTAAAACTATTTTAGATCTTTTGGCCTGCTTTCTCCTACCAACCTTAACAGAGACTCACAGTGGAACCTGACTCCACTACAATGTGTTAATCACTAATGACAAACCTGTGAACCCACTCATGCAGAAGCACAGCTCCAGGCCCTCCAAGACAGGGCTCAGCAAACAGGTCGTACAAAAACAATTCGCCATCAGGATTTCCCCCCAAGCCCTAGTCTGCCTGCCACAAGAGAAGAGAAAAACACACAAGTAAGGAATAAGAAATAATGTTAACACAGGCTGCTATATTATTTGCTGAATGGATGAAGAATCTGTCAGTGTGTGGTTAAACTTATCAAGTCCCTTTATCAGTATCCTGTGCAAAATCAGTTTCTGTCATATTTCTTCCTTATTAAGAAGTCTCTGAGATTGTCTCTCAGCCTTCTTTTTCATAGCTTTGCCTGCCAGCAGTATGGGGGTTTAAGAGATGGCATTCCCTATACATGTTGCCTTATGTTAATTTCACGTGACAGCTAACATCAAACGCTCAGGAGTTCCATAGGGAACTAAGAGCAAAATATCAAGATGACAAATTCTGTTTCTTTTTGCTCTTATAATGCCAAAGTGAATTATTTTGAAGCTCACTTTAGCAGTGATCATGTAGAATTGTTATTCATGTGCAATTCTCAATGCACAAAATGTGCTTCAAACCCACCCTCAGTTGGATATGAGTTCTGCCCTAAGCCACTGACACTCTCATCAGCTCTCCTTATGACCTGGAGTATACTTCTGCAAGGGACCTAGCTGTGGTTAGTTAGGATATATCGATGGCCAATGAGCAAAAGATGCTAACATCCAGTGAGCATTTCAGCAGTGGCCTCATTAACACTGCAGGCCATGGTTAATCAACTGAGCCTACCAGCTATAGATGAATACACACATACATGTGCTATTTGAGATGCCCATTGGATACTTGATGACGGAACAGGGAGAGAGGAAAATAAAATGAATGTATGCTTGTAAAAAATAGTAACACTTTTGATTTGTTGTTGTTGAGGAAGGTTGGCCCTGGGCCAATATCTGTTGCCAATCTTCCTCTTTTTGCTGAGGAAAATTATCCCTGAGCTAACGTCTATGCCAATCTTCCTCTAATTTGTATGTGGGACACTACCACAGCATGGCTTGATGAGCAGTATATAGGTCCACACCCGGGGTGTGAACCTGTGAACCCTGGACCACCGAAGCAAAACATGCACACTTAACCACTACACCACTGAGCCAGCCCCTTGATCATTTTTTATAACAACTCCTCCTTTTTACTTTATTACTCCATTCATCCTCATATTATAGGCATCATCTGTAGGAGGTGAATTATTATCCCAATTTGATAAGAAAGAAATCTAGAAGGTTTGATTTTTCCCGGGGTCACATAGCAAATTACCTAACTACAGGTAGAAGCTAGAACCTTCTATTTCAAAGAAGTATTCTCCAACTTTACCCCCAGCTACACTGGCCCCATCCTTAGGGCATTTTGAGAAAGCTTAAGAGTTACTTTCTGGTGAGGCTAGGTACAAGCCCCATCATACTAACCATTGAACCCTATTTTGCAGGCAGACAGGGCCTGTGAGGTCAGCCCAAGCCTACTCAGTGCACACACACATGTCTTCCAGGATTTTGCCATCGAAGGTCTTCGTACCCTCATGGTGGCCTACCGAGAACTGGACAATGCGTTCTTCCAGGCCTGGAGCAAGAAGCACAGTGAAGCCTGCCTGTCTTTGGAGGATCGTGAAAATAAAATATCAAATGTCTCTGAAGAGATTGAAAAAGACTTGATGGTTAGTGTGAGAAAGCCAGGGACAGATTGGGGGCGGCATCAGGGGTGACCGCAGGTCAGCAGACTGAGCAAGGGCTCCGAGAGTGGCCTCCAGCAAATTAATAGGTTCAGGCTCCCTCTGGATACTGGAATCCAAGCTGATTCAGGATATCCTGGATCTTTGAAATCCACAGATAATGAAAAAATATACTGGTTGTAAATTTCATCTTTCTGGTAGTGTTTCTTAGCCCAAAGCTGCTCACAGAAGCTAAGTAATCTGGGAGAGATCAGGATCTGAATAATGCACAGATTAGATAATTCAGAAATAATTGATGAAATAATCAAGACAAAATATTCACTCGTTCATTCAACATAGTTCTTCAGTGCCTGAGCATGTAACAGTACACAAAACAGATAAAAAGTAGCATGTATAGTATGTTAGATGGTGAAAAGTGCTATGAGAGAAAATAAAGCCAAGAAGAGAGCTAAGGAGCATCAGCGTATGTGTGTATGTTGTGGACAGGGCAGAGCATCGTTTCTGTTTTACACAGGGGCTTAATCTTCACTGTGAAGGGGACACCTGAGCAGAGACCTGGAGGAGGTGGCAAGCCAAGCAGATCTCTCAGGGATTAGCTTTCCAGGCAGAAGGAATGGCAAGAGGAAAGGCCCAAAACAGGAGCAGGCCTAACTTGTTAGTTGAACAGCAAGGCAGGTAGTGTGGCTGGTACAGTGTAAGTGAGGAGGTGAGAATAAAAAGACATGAGGCAGAGAAGTAGTGGAGGGGCCTGATGGGCTGGGACAAGGACTTGTAATGAGATATGAAAAACCAGAGAAGTGATATGATAGCTTTTAAATGACCTCTCTGGCTGCCATGTTGAGATTATACTGTAGGGGACTCAGTGCAGACCCAGGGAGACCAATTAGAAGGTAGCTGCAATAGTACAGGTGAGAGATGATGATGCCTTGGGCCAAATAGACGTAGTGGAAGTGGTGAGGTATGGTCAAATTCTGTTTTTGAAAGGTAGAGCCAACAGCGCTTGGTGATGGATTAGATTATAGGATATGAGAAAAAGAGAAGGATGACCCCAAAGTTTTTTTTGTTTGCTTGTTTGTTTTTTGTTTTTGTTTTTGTGAAAGATTAGCCCTGAGCTAACATCTGCTGCCAATCCTCCTCTTTTTGCTGAGGAAGACTGGCCCTGAGCTAACATCTGTGCCCATCTTCCTCTACTTTATACATGGGATGCCTACCACAGCATGGCTTTTGCTAAGCAGTGCCATGTCTGCACCCGGGATCCGAACTGGCGATCTCCGGGCCACCGAGAAGTGGAACGTGCACACTTAACCCCTGCGCCACCGGGCCAGCCCCAACCCCAAAGTTTTTGACCAGACTGATACAGACTGTCTCTGCTCTAAAAAGAGAAATTATTGATACTGAATGGGAAAATTTAGAGATCCCAAAGGTCATAAATCTGCCATCGTCAGTTCTGTGGTTAGTATTTCTAGTCTGTCCTTCTAGAGGCCTAGCAGAAATCAGTCAGTAGTTTGTCCATCTGTCAGTTTCTCATACTCAGTCTTGGTGCCCATCCCTGTGGTCTGCACTGTTGGCTTATCAGAGAGAGAAGGCATAGTGTTGGACCAAGATGCTTTTAATCTAGCGTAGGAGAAGGGCTTGAAAACCCTAGAGAGCCCCAGTAGGTACAAACAAATGAAGTTCATCCAGGCTGTTGTAGGAGTGAAAGAAAAACTGGAGTGGGATATGGGATCCCTTGTCTGGGACCCTCTGCTTCCGGAGACCAAAGCCAGGAACTGTGCTATGAAGCAAGGGAAAAGTGAAAGCATGTTGAAAAACAGTTTGGAACTGGCACACAGCTTCATATACGACTTGTGCAAGTCTTTTGCCCTTTGGTCCCTAAGTTTCTGTGTTTCTAAATTTGATTTCAGTGTGTGGTTGAAAAGCTGCATCTGTTGAGAGAGTTTTACACCACTGGGGTCCTCATATCAGGACAGAGCCAGCTTCCTAAAGAGGATGCTGAGGTGCCAGCTGAGTTGTTGGGTAGCACTAAATGCTGTGACTCTCTCCCTTTTCCTCACTCACCGATATCTCTGTTCGAAGCTGTTAGGGGCCACAGCCATAGAAGACAAGCTGCAGGATGGTGTACTTGAGACAATCATCACCCTGAACAAAGCCAAAATTAAAATGTGGACTTTAACTGGAGATAAGCAAGGTAAAGGGGAGCTCCTCGCTTGACTGATCCTCTTCCCTGTCCACCTTAGCTATTTCTTCTTTTTCTTTTTCATTTTCTTTTTTTCTTAGCCATTTATTTGACAAATACTTTATAACCCAGGGTAAACCCTTACAGGACCCCCAGTCTGGCATACAGTTTGCTAAGCATATACTTTATGCCAGATGTTGTATTAGGCATTGAGGACACAGAGATGAATCAATCAGACATGACCTCTGTTATCCAAGAACTCACAAGCTAAAAACTTGAGAGTTGTCTTTGACTGTTACCCTCTGTCTTGTCCCAAAGATTCATTCTCTCACCACGTTCCACCAATTCTTCTGAAAATCCTTTTGACTACGCCACCACTCTAGTTCAGACTTTGTCCCTGTTTACTTCTGCAGAAACTTCTGAACTGATCTCTGTCTCTTGCTCTCATTAATTTCAGTATAGTCTACATACAACCATCAGTTTAATCATCCTAAAATATACTACTTTTATGATGTTATTCTGCTCAGGTACGTACAGTGATTTCACATGGTAAAGCTGAACTCCACAGTCTGGCCTGGCAAGACCTTGACAACCTGTTGCTACCTACACGTCCTTATCTCCATCCTAACGTGACCATTATCTTCAGCATGTCCCAAACAAACTAGTTCCTCCTCTGGGACCTCTGTTTGAGTTGTTTTCCCATTTGAAATGTTATTTTTCTTCTCCTAAACAAGTCTCACTTATCCTTCAAGGCCTTCCTTCAAGAAAGTTTCTATGACAATGGCAGTCTCTCCTCTGAAGTTTGATAGCACTTGCAGCCACGGTTCAGAACTCAATTTTTTACATTTTTTTCCTTAATGTGAATTTATTCCAAATTCCAGATTTCTTGGTTTAAAGACTACAACCTAAACATATCTCAGTCCCCCATAAAATCTAGCATAGAAATGGGCACAGTGCTGTTCAAGGAAGTACATCGTGATTGCCTGGAGAAGTGGGTACAGACTGGAATTGCTTTAAGAAACAGGAGTAGGCTTTGTAGAGAAGGCTGAGCCAGAATGATCCTAATTATTGATGAGTAACTCGCAAGTCTGTACCAGGTAGACAGTCTCCTGTGGATTTTTGATGATGGTCTCCACTGACTCGTTACACTTTGCCTGCATCGATGGCAAATGTGGACAAATGGGCTCTGCAGCCCACTGTTGGTCCCTGTGGACACTGTATACCATGTACACTGTGAAGACCTGTCCAAGCCAAAATGCGACCTTGTGTTCCCCCTTCCCTGCAGAGACTGCTGTGAACATTGCCCATGCCTGTAACATCTTTGAGGATGAAATGGATGAGATATTTATCGTGGAAGGCAAGGACGATGAGACTATTTGGCAAGAACTCAGGTACAGATGGGAAAGCTGCCACAGCCCGTCCCTGGACCCAAGATTTCCCACCCATCTCTTTACCCAATATGGCCCCCACCATATTCTGTGCCAGAACGAAGAGAGGAGAAAGGAGGAGGGGAAAACAAAAAGAACCTAAAATATTCTGGAGAGGTTTGTGAAGAAACATTAGGGCTCCAGGAGTTGGAATGTGGAGGCTGGAAAAGTGTGGTGTGGGGATGTCAGGGTTGTACAACAGTGGCAGGTCTCAGGAGGCAATCGAGTCTGAGGTCCTGGCTGATGCTTTGCAGAGGCTCTGTGTTCACCTTGCCCACGTTCATTCCAGGACACATTTTCCTCCCTGAGCTCTGCGTCTTCAGGTCAGGCACTAACCACTGCTCTTGGCTTTCAGGTCAGCAAGGGCCAAGATGAAACCTGAGTCTCTACTGGAATCAGACCCAGTAAACAGTTACCTCACCATGAAGCCCAAAATGCCCTTCAAAATACCTGAGGAGGTGCCCAATGGCAACTATGGCTTGGTCATCAATGGCTACAGTTTGGTGGGCAACACAGAACTACAACTCTGTTTTCTTCCAAGGAACCTTTTTCTTAGGTCCAACCCACTTCAGGGAAATTTCAAGACCCTTTTCCTATTCCATGAGTCACCTTATTCCCCGTTCAGGTGCCCTTGCCTGACAGATACCTTTCCTAGCCTTCTCTAGGCAGGAATAATGAGGAAAGAGAAGCCAAGGGCATATTCCTTCCTTATCCAGATTCTTCACTACTGATGTTGCCTGTCACTTAAACGAAGGGGGGAAGCGAGCAGGACCAGGTTCTCCAATAAGTCACTTGGCCTTATAGCCCAGGCAACTCATTTGACCCAGTGAGAGACCCTGACCAGGTTCCCACTGGAGGTTGGGTCAGATGTGAGCGTGCCTAGAACTGACTTGGGGGCTTGGCCTTCCTTGGGGATGGAGCACCTTGGGAGCAGCTATGCCTGACCTGGGTGGTACAGGAGAGTATGGAGAGGAGGAAGGGCATAGGAAGGTCCTGTCCTGAGAGTCCTTTGGGGCAACCTGAAATGTGGCTGTGTCCTGGTGATGCAGGCCTATGCTCTAGAAGGGAACCTGGAGTTGGAACTGCTACGAACGGCATGCATGTGCAAGGCGGTGATCTGCTGTCGGATGACACCCCTTCAAAAGGCCCAGGTGGTAGAGCTGGTGAAGAGGTACAAGAAGGTGGTGACACTGGCCATCGGGGATGGGGCCAATGACGTCAGCATGATCAAAGGCACGTGATGGGTGGAAGGCAGTAGCCCCCAGCCGTGGGCTTGCCCTTTCCTTCCTCCATGGGCAAAACTGATCTGGGTGGCACTGTCTTGCTGGCTCACTCCTGCATATCTTATGTATTGCACATGTATACTATTTTGCAACTTCATTCATCCTCCTCTACACCTGCCTTCTCACTTATTTGTACATGCGTACATCAGCCCATATCCACAGGCATACACACTCATTCAGATTCATGTACTTATGCACTTCATATTCATATATACGCAGATACACACGGCTCCAACAAGAACACATGCATATATTCACAGAATAACAGGCTGTACAACTACCACACCATCTTTCTGAGATAGTGTCAAAGCCCACAGAAAGGACCCCGGGCAAGAGTCACAGTCTGTGCCTTTTTTGAAGGCTGTAGGCGTGAGCATTGTTAGGCAGAAGACAGGGCTCCCCAACCAGGGAAGTAGCTGTGAGGCCCGGATCTTTTCCTCCCTGAGGCACTGTTCCCAAAAGCTTGCTCTTACTCCCCTGACTGAAGGAGAAAATCAGACTTACTGATGCTTCAGACCAGTAGGAGCAAATGGCTGAAACTGGTTTTAATTTCAGCTGAAGGTTGTTTGCCTCCAGCGTCTTGTGGTTCTGTGAGATGTGGACAACGTCTAGAGGTCCTCTAGTCCAACCTCTCTCCCCTTACAGGAAACACTAGTAGATATTCCAGCCTCAGCTTCAATACTAGGAAGTGTTCTTGCTCTCTTCTGCAGTTTCTAGAACCTCTTGGGTTTTTAGGGCCTTAGAATTTTTAATTATTCCATTAAGCAGTACAATAGGTGTATCCCAGAATATCAATAAGTTTGGCTTACACTGCAACAGACTAATTAAAACTTTTAGGAACTTCAGTCTTATCTTCCATCAAGTATAATCCTTGCCTTATCTAGAAAAAGTCACCTTAGGCCATCACTTATTCCTCCCAACAGTTGGATTTTAGCTCCTTAGGTAAACTTAGGTAATTAAATATTGTGTTAGATGGACATCCATCCTGCATCTTTAATTGATTTAAGTGTCCTCAAGAAATAAGAAATTTTTACCTCAGCATGTGGACAGCAGGAAAGAGCCCAGATGGCTATAGTACGTGCAAAGACCATCCAGGACAGCATTGTAGTACTAGCCACGCTGGGCACTCTGGAGTGGCACCCTTCAAAAGTAAGCGCAAAAGAAGGAGCTGCTTTCTGACTTTTAGGGGTGGGGCAGTCCACTAAGGAGAAAAGTCTCCACTAAGTGCGTGCCATTTTGAACTAGGCCTAACAGTATTTTCCAAATGTAAAATAAGGGGTTTACACAACATGATCTCAGCCTTCCTTTTACACTTCCCAGGCTAGGAGCCCAGCAAACATGCTCTGCAGCTGAGAAGCTTCTGGGGTTTCTTTGCAGCTGCCCACATTGGGATCGGCATCAGTGGCCAGGAGGGAATGCAGGCTATGCTCAACAGTGACTACGCCTTCTGCCAGTTCCACTATCTTCGGCGTCTACTCTTGGTTCATGGCCGCTGGTCCTATAATCGCATGTGCAAGTTTCTCAGCTACTTCTTTTACAAAAACTTTGTCTTCACCCTGGTACACTTCTGGTATGCCTTCTTCAGCGGGTTCTCTGCACAGGTAGGAGGTCAGGTGGCATTTCCCACTATGGTCAACTGGGTCTTCTCTAGTCACCCCCTGCTTCAGCTAGCTCAGACCCTTTTCTCCTCTAGAGACCAGTGTATGACATGCTGCCATCCATCCACAAAGCTCCTCACCCATGCTGATCCCCTCTCCTAACTCTACACTTAACCTTAGATTTCCAACCCTAATTTTTCTGGCCTCGCTCTGACTTGGCCTTGACTCCTACCTTCAGAACTCTCCCATAAGATATTTTTACCTTTTCCCTGACATAGAGACCTAGAGTTTCCAAACATATATAATGGAGGAAATTCCTGGATCTGGGAGGGTTTTTAGCATCCCAAGTAATCTTTATGGAACAGGATAGGCCTCAAGGGGCCTCTGAGTCTTGCCAGAAAGATTGGTTATGGCGTTCACCTGTAGCTGACTTGGAAACACCGCTTTCCTTTACTACTCCTTCCCCAACCTGACACACACACACCCAAACACACACTATTGTTGTTTTAAGGAATTAATTTCAAACTTCAATATGTAATCTCCCCCACAGTAGTAGGGAGAGGTGACACCTGGATTTTGATGTTCTAAGAGGAGTCCTTTTTCCTATGAGTTTTTCAGAAGTCTCTCAAGGATTCCCAAGAGAAACAACTTCAGAAACAATTATCTTGGGAGATCTCTACCACTTTTGTTGCCTTGAACTCCAGGGGAAACAGACCAGTCAGCAGACAGTAGTATTGTATATATATCCCCAGCATCTAGAAAAGCCACTCTGGTTTGTGGGAGGTGTGTGCTGCTGCTGACCTCTTGTGGCTAGTAAGAAATGGAGCACCCAGCTGGGGAAGGGTCTTTTGGTCTATTCTGCTTGTCGATGTTAGAAATGTCCAGTGCTATAGAAGTTACTGAATGCCATAGAGCAAATAAAGAGTCCAGAGTCTTATATGCTTGTGAGTGCAGGGGTATGGCTAGCACTCCCTAGTAGCTACTCTGGACTCTTCCTATGCAAGGAGGGGCAGTGCAGGTCATGGTAGGATTGGTCCAAATCAGCCTTGTAGGGTTGACAACAAATAGGCTTGATGTGGCCTTGCCTGAGACCCAGGGTTCTAAATAGAGTAGAACCAAGGAGAGACTGGGGTCAGACTTCTCAGTCAGATTTCTAAAATCCAAATCCTGCTGTAGATTAGTGTGGTGGTTGGTAAGTAGGGCGTGGAGGGAGCTCTCTTGGACCTGGGAGGTAGGGCTGGGACTTTGGAGAAGAAGAATCTAAGAAATCTCCTTGGTTTTCTTCCAGACAGTTTATGATACCTGGTTTATCACTTTCTACAACCTGGTCTACACCTCCCTCCCTGTCCTGGGCTTGAGTCTGTTTGACCAGGTAAGACCAGCAGCAACCTTCTTAGTCATGGCTAAAGCCCCTGGGCCCTTGAGGAGTATTCCCAAGAGTGAGGAGGACAGTAAGAGCTGAGCTCCGCAAAGTTAAGTGTAAATGGAATAATTTGTAGAGCAAGGAAGGGAGCTCATCACCTGGAGAGGTACCATGGGATAAAGTAAAGAACCCTCCTCCACAGAGAACAATTATCAGTTTTAGAAATCCAAGTTTTCCTGTGTCAATTTTGTTGTTGTAGAGAAAAACATAGAAATTGTACTGTACAGTAAATGAGTGTGTACAAAAGTAGTGAAAAGAAACAGAGTTATTGGGGCAGGACTAGGTAAAGCAAGGGGCTTGAAGAAAGAAGAGACCTATACAGAGATAATGAGATAAGCCAATGCAGGGAGGCCTACGTGAGAGTCCTGAAGGCCAAGCATGGGAGAATGGGTATGATGCCTTGAGTCACAGGGAGTCAGCCTATCTGCCTATGGGGGATACTATCTGTCCCTGTCAGAAATTCCCTGGGCATTGAAGGTTCTGGTGCCCTACCTCGTATCCTTTCTCCTCTACCCCAACCTCCAGTCCTGGGCACATGGAATAGAAAAGGAGCCTCCAAAGAAGAATAAAGTAGCTGAAAGAGGACACCATGAGATCATGGTTCCTGGTCTCCATCAGGGTCAGAAGGAAAATTCTCCATGGAGTAGCTGCCAGCCTCAGAGCAGCAAAAGGGATGAAGTGTATCGCACAACAGTCTTATCCAGCTTCAGTGGTCTAATTCTAGGGATCCACAATCTCTCAAAATAAGCCCCAAACTTTGTTATCCAAAGTCCCAGAGTTAGGAGATGAAAATGATCCAATGTCATCCACATAGAGAATCTTCTCACCTGAGTTCACCAGTATCTATGGCAATGGGAGTAGCATCACAGAAAATGGATATCTCCAAGGGACTAACTGGTCCGCATTGGCTTCCCCCTCTCGTCCCACTGGCTTTTGACATGAAGAATATTCAACTAAAGGAACACTTAAAACTGAGGACTTATATCCCAACTGCTTCCTCCATCGCAAGCTCCAGTCCCCACTTCCAGTAACCCCTAATCCTAATTTCCCCCTTTGTTAACTCCCCAATCCTAACTGCCTCAAGGTCCTTCCCACCATCTTGACCTTCTAGCTTTCTTCCACTACTTAGATCCTTGCCTAGAGAGTAGGACTTCACGAAGGGTCTATGGTCACTGCTCTGTTCTCTGGTTCCACTTCTCAAGTAATCCATGAGGAGGCTCCTAGGCAGCCTGGCAGCAGACTCAGTGAGAGGAGACGCCTCTACTCTGATGGAGTTGGGACCTTTTATGGAGAGACCCTGAGCTTTCCTCCTTACCCTCTTGTGCTTCCAGGATGTGAATGAAACATGGAGCCTGCGTTTCCCAGAGCTGTATGAGCCAGGCCAGCACAACCTCTATTTCAACAAGAAGGAATTTGTAAAGTGTTTAGTGCATGGGATCTATAGTTCCTTTGTGCTATTCTTTGTCCCCATGGGGACTGTTTACAACTCAGTGCGCAGTGATGGGAAGGAAATCTCCGACTACCAGTCCTTCTCCCTGATAGTGCAGACCTCCTTGCTTTGGGTGGTCACAATGCAGGTGTGGCCAGTGGTTGGGGGGTAAGGGGATTGGGTGGAGAGTCTGTCTGGAAGTGAGGGAGGGATTGAGGGAGGGTAGGTGGAAAGGGAGCCTCCTCCATTATGGAACTGGAGAACGGAGGTGGCTGATAGGTCCCAGGTTATGGAGTATTGCACATAAAAGGGTACTTTTCAGATCGCCCTGGAGACAACCTACTGGACGATGATAAGCCACTTCTTCATCTGGGGTAGTCTGGGTTTCTACTTTTGCGTCTTATTCTTCCTGTACAGTGATGGCTTGTGCCTAATGTTCCCCAACGTCTTCCAATTCCTAGGTAAGGCTGTGCCCAATGTGTGTGTGTTGGCGGGGAGGGGGGTGGAGAGTGTGAACCAAGTATATTTGTTTAGTAAATGTTTACTGAGCAGCTATTACTATGTACTAGGTTCTGTGGATATAGATATGAATAAGACATGGTCTCTGCCCGAAAAGTACTCAAAACCTAGCTAGGGGAAATATTTTACCTTATTAGAGTTTCTAAGATATTTTCAAATTTCTTACCTAATTTGATCTTTACAAGTATCCTGTGACGTAGGCAGGGCAAGAATTATTAGCAACATTTTAGAGACTATAGATTTTTAAAAATTAGATAACTCAAATCTGGGTCTCCTGGTTCCCAGTCCAACATCCTTTCCACTGTGGCATACTGCCTTATTGTCTCCCATAGTAATTTCCCTATCTCTCATCTCCACTCTGATGAGGACAAAATACAGAGGGAGCAGACATGTAGGTGTAGCGGCTCCCATCTCTTGTCAAGCCACTCATTTTTCCCCTCCAAAGCCCTCTATCCCATTTTTGTGTCCAGGCCAACGCTCTATGATTCCTATAACATACCCCACCTCTCCTGCCCTACCAGCCTTTAGAGGGAGACAAAGGCACATGAATTCACAGTGACTTTGGCTGTACAAAGGATGTCGCTGCAATTCTTTTGCATTCATATTATTTTTCAGGAGAGTAAATTGTCTCCAAATCAATAACTTCCTTTTTTGGACTGGAGAGGTATCTAAGTTGTGGCTGACAGCCCCGTTTCCCTAGGCTCTGGTTCAGCCTTTCTACTCCTGGCTCATTGTTTACAGGTGTGGCCAGGAACATTCTGAAGCTGCCACAACTGTGGCTGAGCCTTGTTCTCAGCGTGGTCCTCTGTATGTTGCCTGTGATTGGGTACCAATTTCTCAAACCACTATTCTGGCCTGTCAGTGTGGACAAGGTGAGTGGAACAGGAAATCTACCCAGATACAATTCATGACCCTCTTTTATTTTGCCTCTATGCATAAAAACCCTGTCCCCCATGCTCTGCCTATAGGTTATTGACAGAATTCATCACTGTATGCGACATCCACTGCCGCCCCCCATCCGGACCAAAGTGAAACATGCAAGCTCCCGACGTTCTGCCTACGCGTTCTCCCACAAACAGGGCTTTGGGGCCCTCATCACTTCTGGCAAGACAATGAAGGGCAAGCCCAAGAAAAGCAGCCTTTTGAAAAAGTAGAGGCCTTTAGGGAAACCTCAAAGGAGTCAGTCCCTCCCTTGTGTTCCTACAACTTAGTAAGGAGGGATTCGAGACCCTGGGAAACCCGCCTAAACCTGCTTCTCCATTCTCGCTCCAGGGTCACAGTCTCTCCAGTCCCTAGAAGGCTGTGGCCAGGTAAGGCGAGGAAAGAGGAAGAAAGAGCCCCCAGATATCTGTCAGAGTTGCAGCATTTCAAGAAAAAGTGACATTAGGCCTCCCTTCTACCAACCCTTCCAAGTTTTAATCCAGACAAGCAAATGTGGAAGTAATGGGTAAAGAGGGGCAGTGTGAGGAAGGGAAAAGAAGATAGGACTAAGCATCTTAGGTTGGACCCTGTTTCCCATACCCAGAGCAACCATAAACCTTTCCAGGGCCCCACATAGACACATCCCCACCGAGGCACCCTTCTCAGGTTTATCTGGGGACTCAGGGCGAGTCTTTTGCTGGCCCTGGGTTGCAAAAGGAGGCAGCTATGAAAAGTTGGTTGTAAGAAGATGAAGGAGAGTTTCTGGACCAAAAAAAAAAAAGGAAGTGGTTCCTGCCTTGATAGGACAGCTCAAGATTTTGCCTTCTTCCCCTCTCTTTGACCCCTTTCACCCAAGAACTGATGCAGAACTGAGAGGGGGAGACTGCAGGGGATTTTTAAAAATCTTTCCTTGAAGGGACATAAGCCATGATTGCTGAACACTTGTCTTCATTCCATAAAATTATTTTGAGAAGAAATTGTATGTACTTGGGAAATTATTTCTAAGAAGTTTATAGAGTAATAAATTGCTTATTTTGAAGTGGAGAGATTTGTATGGTCTTTTGGGTGATACAAATCTTGTATCACAGTGATAATAACATAATCCAAGCAATACTATTGGCCCACAGTCCCCTCCCACCGTCTCCCTTCAAATTAGACCAATATTTTCCTTTTTTCCCTCACTCTTTCTCTCCTTTCTCAGCTCCACTCTACTTTTCTACCCCCTGCTGCTAAACTCTGTCTTGGCCTCAGTATGACCACATCTTTTAACCATATAGCTCTATCTTCTTTGCACACCTTAAACATTGGTTCCCAAAGGTCAGTACTAGGTTCTCTGGTCATCTTTCTCTGTATACTTTTCCTGAGTGACTTCATCCAAACTCATGACTTTATTTACCAAAAGAAAGAAGATTCTCCACTCTCTCTCTATCCTAGATCTCTCTTCTGAGATCCAGGTCCATTTATTAAACTGACTCCAAGACATTTCACTTAGTTGAATCTCAGGAAACTCACACTCAACCCACCAACCTGTATTAATCATTTTTCCCCAAAATTTCACCCCAGGATGCCACCACCATCATCCTGGTCACCCAAGGCAGAATGATGGGAATGACTCTTCCTCTAGTCTGATGTCTAATAAGTCATCAAGTAATGATGTAACCTGCATCTTTATTATGTCTTGTTTTCAGTTCCCTCCATTATTACTACCATTGCCCTGTATAGTCTTTGATCATCTCACCTGCATTTCTGCGTAAATCTCCCAACTCATCTTCCTGGTTTTCCCCTATTTAAATCATCACCAATACCAATTCCAGAGTAATCTTTCTAAAAGGCAAACTTGATCTTGTCAGTCCCCTGCCTTGCCTTCTTTAAGGGCTTCCTATTCCTTCTGCATCAAGTTAAAATCTGAACATTTCATTATTGGGCCCTCTCTAGCCTGTCTTCCACTATTCCCCTGTCTGCATTCACTCCAGTCATGCTATTTCTGATCTTCATGTCATCAAACATTCTGTTTTTATATGCTAAAATGCTTTCTCATCCCCTCTTCATCTAACAAACTCCTAGTCACTCTTTGAAACTCAGAATAGTGGGAACTAGATAGAGGTGATGGTTGAACAATATTGTGAACATACTAAATGCCACTCATTTATATACTTTAAAATGGTTAATTTTTTGTTATGTGAATTTCACCTCAATTTTTTTCTTTAAAGCTCAGATTAGGCATTGTCTCCTCCAAGAGCTTCTCCTAATTCCTCAGTGTGACTTATACACCTGTCCTACTTGTTCTGTTGCTCCCCTGTGCATACCTCTATCAGTGACACTTAGCACAGGGCATTGTAATCATTGATTTATTTGTCTATTCACAGCATATAATGGGCCTTTAATAAATGTCTGTTGAATGAATGGACAAATGAAATGAAAGAATATTGAAATCTGCTTCTCTGCCTATTTTTCTTGTTTCCCTGAATAGCACCACTGCCCAATAGCTCAAACTAGAAGACTGGAAGTCTTTCTGGGCTTCTCCCTTCCATTCCTCTAATCTAATCCATTCTGTTACCAAGTTCCATATACTCTGTCTTAGAAACGTCTTGAATCTTTCCCTTCCTATTCGTCCCCAGGCCCATTGCTTTCATCATTTCTTGCTTGGATTATGGCAACATCTCCCCTCTGGTCTCCCTGCTCCTGATTCTGCTTCTTTCTAATCCATTATCCACACCACAGAGAATGATCTTTCAAAAATACAAAGCAGATCATGTCATTTGCTAGTTCAAAATCCTTTAGTGACTCATCATAGCTTCCCTTCCTTGGTGCTGCCTACCTCTCCACCTTCACCACCGCTTTCTGCTGCATATACCCTCACTTCTGCCATACCAAACTATTTCCAATTCCTGAAAAGTTCCATTATCTTCAGGAGCCTCCATGCCTTGGCCCTTTCTATTATCTTCTCTTAGAATACACTTCTCTTCTTTGTTTAGGTAATGTCTATCTGCTCTTCACTCTCAGCTTTTGTCCCTTCCTCTGGGAGCCTTCACTGACATCCAACCTCTTGCTCTGAGTTGAGTGCCTCTTCCTTGAGCTATACTACCTTGTACATTTCTCTTATTTTCAGTTCCCAAGATTTGAATGTATTATCACTCATGCACCTATTTTAATTGTGGCTTACTTCTTTGTCCTCTCCGCTAGGCTATGATGATCTCCTTGAGGACAAGAACTTTGTTTCATTTTTGTATTCTTATCACCCAGCAGGGTGCTAGCACTTATTAATGTTTTTCAGTGAATGACTAAATGAATGAAATCTACTACCTTGTATTTGTCCTAAATCTACCTCTTACCCCGCCCTTTCAAAATGAATCTTATTCTTCGGTATCTAGTTTCCAGTTGTACTTTAGGGGCCTCTTTTTATGAAACATGGTCACTCATGGTCTCCCATCTAAGGCATTTGTAAAAATACAATTTGGACCAATAATATCCCCCCAAACTCCTGAACAATCAGCATCCCCTCCTGGTGGTTTATATGCATCTTGGGATATTTGAGTCTCAGTCTCTGCTGAGGATATAAGACAGCAGATGCCACATTCCAAAGTGAGACGACCATGCAAGACTTGCAAAAAGGGCTGTGGAAAACGAGTTTGCAACTCCTAATCACCTCACCTACCTTGAGAAAAGGGTCAGAAATTCAGACATTGGAAAGGGATCTTTGGACAGAATTGCTGATGGGCTTTGAGTCCCACCGCTAGTTCAGTTCATGTTGAGAGGGTTTTAAGGAAGTTACTTGGAGAAATTGATATGACTAATGTGTTTGGGGGACACAAAGAACTCAACTCATACCTGGAAAATCTAAAAAGCAAGAGAACAATTGGCTATCTGTTCTATGGCAGAACAAGAAGAGGTGGCTGTGGTGAGATGGGCCTGTGCTCCCACTGGTTTTCAGGACAAGGGAGGCATGGGTGCTCCCCGTAGACCAGATATGAGCCATACAGGAGATCTAGTTAGGGTTTCGTTATCTTGTCGGAGAGACAATCTGAAAGGTTGAGGAGACCTCAGGAAAAGGAAGCAGGGGATATGCTGTCAAATGCCTAGAGATTTCTAATTAGATAGAAGGTTGCCTGAGGGTGGAACTGATTGCCTGTGAAGGAGCACGAAGTAAATATTCTATATCTTGATTTTGGAGGTGGTTACATGGGTGTATACATTTGTCAAAACTCATCAAACTGTACACTTAAAATCTGTGCATTTTATTGTATGTAAATTATATTTCAATAAAGTTGATTTTTTAAATGCCTAGAGATTTCTAAAGGAGTTGTAAGTGACCAACCAACAGAGCTGAATTTACCCACATTAAAGTAACTAGATATAGGAGAAATATTTCCACCAACAGGGAGGGAATCTCCGAAAAACCTACAAAAGGGCTCCTTGAGAAAGAGTCAGCTTTAGATACCTGCCAAGCACAAAAACTAGTTTGTGACAATGTTAGTCAAGTAAGAACCTTCCTCATCTCCTCTCCCTCTACCCTGCTCAAACCCTGGAGAAAGGGGGTTAGCAAGCTGGGAATGGAGAAGAGATAAGTGAGAAAAGATAGACATCTACTAAGCCCCATCCCCTTTTCCCACTGAACATGGCCACCTGCAATAGGGCCAAGCTGAGAAATGGGAAAAGCCTTGATTGTAAAGTTTGAAGTTTAAAAAATTATTTCATTAATCTGGACATCTTAATTATTAAAGTGAAAGTTAAAGTAACAACTACTGGTTGCTATCTAAAAAATGACCAGAAAATTCATGAAGTAGTCTCATGGCATGGGTTTAAAGAGTGAAAGACAAAATAAAATGGTTTTATAGTCATCCCTACCCCACAAATCCCATTCTTTCAAGGTTCCAGTTATATATACACACATATTCCCTTTCATCACATTCATCCATCCATACCGCAAATAATTATTGAGCTTCTACCACAATCTGGGCACTATTCTAGATACTGGAGATACAGTGAAAGACAAAAATCAAAAAGGTTTCTACTCTCATGGAGCTTACATTCTAGTAGGAGAGACAGTACTGAAGTAAGCAAGCTCCTTCAGGTAAGTGCTATGAAGACACTACAATAGTACTTCACAGTGAGAGACTGTGAGGGGGAAATGGTAGCTACTTTATATTTGGTCATCAGAAAAGGCCTTTCTGAGGAAGTAACGTGAAATGAGACCTAAATGACTAGAAGGATCTAGCCCTGCCAAAATCTGATGCAGAGGCATTCCAGGCAGAGTAAATACCTAGTGTAAAGTCCCTAAGATAGGAGCAAGCTTTGTATGTAAGAAAAAGAAGCCTAATGTGGACGAAACATGGTGAGCCAAGAGGAGCGGGTTAGACAGATATGATGGGAAGCAGTGGAGGGCTTAAAGCCATTCTGAAGATTGTTCAGGCTACTCTATGGGCAAAAGGGCTGCAGAAGTGACATCAAGGAGACTAGGAGGCAAGTACAGTTGTCTTGGCATGGCATGGTGGTGCCTTAGACTAGGGTGAAAGCAGTGCATAAATAAGTGGGTGAATAGAGGATATACTTTGAAGATAGATCCAAAGGACTTTGTGGATTGGCTACAGAAGATGCAGGCACTGGTTTATCAAATGATCCCACTGATTTACTCAATGGCTTCCTCTTTGATAATTGGGGTGCTAAATCCATAGATTACTGACTCTTCCCACACAGCTCCTCATGAAGGGGTGGGTCTAGGTTGTCATGTTTGTGCTAGTTGACTTTACTACCCCTAGTCACAACTGGCCAAGACTGGATATATAACCCAATATAGCTTCTTTCTCTGGGAATTAGAATGAGAACTCTGAGAGCTAAATCAGTGATAAGGACAGTTGCTAAAATGTCATAGTTTCGGGAAGTGGGGCCTCTATTTTAAAGTGGCCATGATTTGCTATGAGTATGAAGGTAAGTGAGCCAAGGTATCTAGTCTGTAGAGAGAAGAATGAAGCAGATGTCCCAACAGAAATCGACAAGTTACTGTTTCATTCCAGGAGAGAACCCCATGAAGGGCTTTCTCAAGTTGG